AGGACACCGGGACAGGCAGCCTGGCTGGTTGCTCAGATCAGCTTTCAGTCTTCCATTGATCCTCTTCTAGTCCATGCCCCAAATGCTGCTGTGCCCTGGTACTTCACCAGCATCTGGGAGGCAGGGTGAGGAGCTCCGTGTAAGGCCAAAGGCAGTGCCACTTTCTCTCATCATGGCTGATTTGCTGAAAGCGGTCAAGATCGGAGTATTGGAGTTCCCACCCCTACACCACTCATCTCCTTTCCATCTCACCCTCTGCCCTGATTTGCTCCCAGGAAGGATTTAGGCCACTCTGCTTCCTCCCAGATGTTTCAGCTCGCAGCTGTTGACACCCTAACGCAGCCAACAGCAGGCTGCGTGCCTGCCTGGGTTGGTGAACAGAGGCTGTCAAGCAGGCGGGCTTTGCTTTTGGCCTGGCACAATATCCTGTGATCAGCCGGACAACGTGAGGCTCTAAAAATAGCCCCGTGGGCTCAGAGCATTGCATTTCTCTGGCACGCATCCATGTCTCCTATTGATTAGCCTTTAAAGAGTGAGCAGCTCTGATGTGGAAAGTCTAGGCCCTGCTGTGCTGCAGGGCTGGTGAGAGGTGGGAGTGGTGAGCAGTTGGGAGTGGATCCAGAGCCCTGGGGAGGCATCTCTACTCCACTCCACCCTCCCGGGAGCAAGAACTGCTGTTCTCCCAGTGCCCCCTGCTGGCCACCAGTGCCGCACACCTCTCCTGGAGCAGAGTTTGTAAGAGATGCCGTCTGACCCATGAGTTAAAGGTCAAGAAAGAGGAAAGGGAGGCAAACAGACCTGGAGGAAGGGCTTCCTCACACTGGAGTTCAAGGGTCTGAAATCAGTGCTCTGCCAATCTTTGTACCACAGCATATCCACAGGACCTTTCTTTTGAGCTGCATTGGCTTCTTTTTTCCTTTAACAGTCTGTCCATCATTCTGCCCTGCCTGCCTGCTTACATATTGTGTGTCATTCGGGCTTGCTAACTACCTACCTATCGTATTTAATCTTGGCACCTCCTGTCGTGCTGCCCAGTGGGTTATGCAGCAGCCACCTTCTGCTGCAAGTGCCCAGGAGACAAGCTGACATTACTCAGAGCTTCAAGATTTAAATGAGAAATGTATGGGGTGCACCAAGGTGACGCAGTGCTACCAGGTCTGCATTGCCAGGGGTAGTTCCTGTGTCTGCAACTCCTCCTTACCCTCTTTGAAGAGGCACCCAGCTGTTTCCTCTGCATTTAAGGGCCCTGGAGATATAGTGCAACTGCGGCAAGAAGAGGCAGTAGAGCAAACTACCCGCTGTGTGGTCTCACTTTTGATCTGAAAGGACCACTACTAGGTCTGAGAACAGTGTTTGGTCTCTGTGACCCATTCTGTCCTTGCCCTCTCCACTGGGCCTGCCAGCAAGGGGACCTGGCAGTGGTATTTGCAGTGAATTGAACTAAAACCTCATTTTGACTCTAAATCAGCTACCTGCCCTTAGTCAGGGAGGGGTTGGTATGTGTGAAGCAGGAGGGGCTTGCTTCTTGGCAGTGATCCTGGACTTGACTCAGTATAGAAGTGCCTGAGTCTACTTGACTTTCATCCATTTCTTCTGACTGGAACACTCTGTAAGATCTTGTTCTTGGTTCACCACCTGGATTAACAGCACTCAGATGACTTCACCATTGATTGCCACATCTTTGATGCCTTTATCCTCACAACACCCTTGCAAGGTAGGATATTGCTGTGATCCCATTTTAGCAAAGGGGAACTGAGGCAGAGAGAGGCTAACTGAGCTGTCTAAGGTCACCGAGGCAGTCTGTAGCAAAGCTGGGAGAGGAACTGCCATCCACCAAAGGTCTTAACCACTGGACCATCCTTTCTCAGAAGAGCTGGAGCTCAGCGCCTCTTGGCTTTTGTCTCTGACCCTCACTTTCTTCCCTTCCCCAAGGCTGTGCTGCCTCCAACAGCACTGATTCAATGCAAAGTCTTGGCCCTCTGGGGCTGTGGAGAATTACGGCCCTGCTTATCTTCTAGGTTACATCAAGAGAAGGGCAATTCCTACCTGATGTGTGGGCTGGGGAGGTTTGCTGACACATGGTAACAGCCCTAAAATGCAAGACCATCCACTTGGGAATGAAGAGGGGCCAAAAAAATAGGAGGATTCACATCTCATATGCTGAGATAAGTTTAATGAGGATGACCCAGGAAATATATGACACTGAAGGAAAGGAGGCAAGGTGCCTGCTTGACCACCCACCTATTCTTCAGTCCCTCACTGTATACTGTTGCACCAGCCTGTGAGGCAGTCTGCTGTATAATCCCAGCAATGATGGGAGGGGTGATAAGGGGGTGGAGAGATTGGTGTGTGAGCGTGCATGTGCATGCACATGTGCATGAATAGCTGTATTTATTCCATCTGCACCAAGATAAAAAGGCTCTAACAAAAGACCAATGTCAAAAGGAGGAGAGGAATGAAGAGCTACTTGCTGATAATAAGAAATCAGATGAAATCAGAGCCCAGGACCTGCCTGTGGAGGGGCTGCTCCTTCATGCAACACGCATGCCTGGATTTTAATGACTCCTTTGACTGGCAAACGTCTCTCCTCCACCCCTCCCCAAAAGTAAATTTCTCGAGTAGGTGAGCCAATTCTAAATGAGTTATTTATTCCCTTGGAAGTCAGACCGATCTCAAGTCCAATTCCCTCCTGTCCTGCATTTCTGCAGAGGCTTTTATCGCAGCTTTGTGAATATCGATAGAAAGGGGCAAATAGCATTATATTATTACATTACATTATGACATTTTACTCGAGGGTAAATGGTGAGATTAAAGGACCAGTCCTGAAACATGGATGTCACTGGGAGCTGGATCAGGCTTTAAGGCCAGAGTTTTCCACAGAGCTCAGTCCACTGGGATCACAATGTGAGCAGCGGCCTTTTGAACATCTGGGCATACGTGGCGGGGTGAGAGCAGTTTTTTGAACATCTGGGCATACGTGGCGGGGTGAGAGCACTTTTAAACATCTGGCTCTGTTTAGGTGCCTACATGGCAGCTGGGCATGCACTTATGGGTGCTGAGTACTTGAAGATCTGGATGTGAGTGTTTTTGAAAATCTGCCCCTGCCTCACTTACCCCAGGGAGCCTTGTAAATCAGTAGAATACCTCAAATTGAAAACAGAACCAGGAAGCCTAATGCCTAGCTCCCTGTTCTCACCAATGGATGAGGCTTCCTATTTTCAGAGGGTTTATTAGGACTGATGTGGGCTAGTCTAGTAAAAATGTAATGTAATTATTTCCTGTGTATAATCCCCACCAAGATCCACAGACGCTGTTGCTCGCAGAAGCCTTGTTAACTCTCTTCAGTCAGAGAGAGGTAAATTATTTCTACCCTCTCCCCTGGCTTTTTTTTTTTTTTTTAAAGCTGCTTCTCTGTCTTTGCAAGTCCTCATGACAGCCCGTGGGATCCTCCTCTTTGGCACACAGATCTGTGAGGCTTCCTGTCAGAGCCCATGGGCAAAAGGACCGAGGCCATTTCGAGTGCCACCTGCACAGAGGATTCAGCTCAGCCCCCTAGATTTGTTGCATGTGCTGCAGTTCTGAAGAGTAATTGCGCGAACATCAAACCCATGGAAGTGCTGCCCTCTGGGGAACTAACTGGCTCAAGGGGAATAGTACTAGGTTGTGAAGCCTTTCATGCAAAGCTCGCATTTCAGCTCCAGCTCAGGCTGACAGTGACTCAGACACGCAAAGAAGTGCCTTTCTTATTGAAAAAAAAGGCTAGTTTTGAAAACTGAAAGGTTGTGTGAGCAACTTTTGACGATGTTGACATTTTCCAGGTGTGTTTTACTGAGAAATTCTCTGATTTTTATCAACATTTGACTGAAATCAAATGCAGTATAGGTGGTTTTCTGCAACCAGACCTTTTTGATAATGGGGCAAAGTAATGATTGCATGAAATTAACCATGAAAAACATCACTAGAAGGGTTGCAAAAAACTGGAAATGGGTCTGTTGTGGGGGGAAAAAGTAAAATGACATTCTAAAATGTTTAGTGAAATTGTTGTCTTGTTTTTTTGATCAGATCTCCTCATGTGTGAAAATTAATGCCATCTGAACATAGGTGGCCAGGATAGACATAATAATAATAATAATCTTAGGCCACTTCCATATAGTTAAGTGACTCTGTCACAGAAGCACTGTTCTCTAGAGCAAAATGAGTCATCTCAGAGATGGAGCCAGATCAGCCTAAATACAAGATAAATCCCATGCACAATTCATGGGATACAAGTCTAGAACTGTGGTTCTGTAATGCAAAGGTACAACTTCGCTGAGTGAAATGATGGCACCCTTAGCTGGTAGCACTAACAACTTCCTTATTTGCTCTGTAGAATTTAGAGGGGAACACTTAATATTTTTTGCAGATCTGGCGCACTGTACTCCAGTCCCCTACAGCTGGTCCCTGCAGGTTAGGGTTAAGTCAAAGCTACAAGTGGATTCAGACTAGTGAGGCAATGTAAGGATATTTGTAATGCTTTTGCCTACGTGTTTCCATAGATGATCAGGCATGCTGAGTTTGCCTAATGGGGACACCAGGGAAAATGAAGGTGAATCAACAAAAGATATGAAGGCAATGCGTGTAAGTAAAAGCACAGCCAGCCATTTAAACCATGTAAAATACCCAGAAGGACACACTCATTCAGGTATAGCACACTTTGAAATGGGTGTACAAGGATTTACGGCCACTTTACACCCCCTAGAAAGTACTTGGACAATCATTTCATGTGCTTGTGTTATGTGTGTTGTCTTCACAATGCTAGTTGGGTCACCTTAAATTTCTTGGATACATACATGTAGGCCAGCTCCATCAGTCCCCTCTCCAAGATGGCTATGCATTTCCAGGTGCGCTGTGTCTCAGTGGCCACGTGCAGCTGGGAAACAGTAGCCAGCTTTGTCATTCTTGGCTGAGCTGTCAAATCCCAAATCTCAATGGCTATCTCATGCAAAAGCTTTGGATCTTACCTTGTCGACGGGCTTCCAGCTCCTTCATTTCAAGATCATGGGTCAGCTCTAGAAGAGAAACCAAAGGGTCATTTAAACAAAAATATCATTTTTGCAACCTTGGCTCTCTGCATTGACTCATTGTCACATTTACACCTTAAAAAGCTTGTTGATTTGACGGTTTGTAATTTATAGTGGCTCTCACAGACTGAGCCCAGCCCCAAATGGTAAGTGCTTCTGTCTCAGAGAATTCAGTGAGCCATGGTTGTGAAAACAGATATTGCTTGTTAGATGGAAAGTATTAATATGTTATTAAGTAGTCATGGAGATTGTACATTCTAAATGACAACTACCTGCTCAGTGTAACCAACATCCTAATTACAGGTACTGCCCCATCAGCTGTAGCAAGGGAATGGTCTGTTTTTCTTCATGTAGTGACTTGGCTATATAAATGCAGAGTTGTTTGTGTAGTCATTTGAACCATTTTTAGGTGCTTAAAACCAGGACAAAGAGCAGAGCAATGAACTGAAAATAGACCTGAATGTAAACTGCCTTCTGAAATATTTAATGATCTGCTTTCCCTGCGCCCATCTCTTTTTCTCAGCTCATTCTACATTCCTGTGGAACATTCTTGTCTCTGGCGCTAGGTGCTCTAAGGCACCCTCCTGGCACTGCCTAGCTTTTAAAATCATCTTTAAACCTGTTACCTAATGTAGCATGTGTGATGCCTATTAAACAGTACAGCACCAGTGTGCTTAGGATGTTATCAGCTAATGACCTTTTGTTTTGGATGATGCTTGTAAATGAATATCTAGGTAAGTTTTGGGCAGTCTTGGGAGTGAACCTGGAACCTCCAACACCAGCAATACATTTTCTACCACTTGATCTTAGGGCAGGGGTCAGCTGTGTTTTTGGGCAGGGTGCCAAAAACACCTGCAACCTTGATTTGTCAGATGTTGGTGTGCCAGGGTTGGACAGCAGGGTAACTGCAAGGGGCCTGATTCTTGTTGTGGCAGTGCAGCTCTGGCCCTTCCCCGATGTCACCCTGAGGTGCATGTGCTTTTGCATGCCATGCTCTGGCACCCATGCCAGGGGTTGCCAACCCCTGTCTTAAGGTGTAGCTCCTCTAACAAGGAGCTGAGTTAGATTCATACCCGCGGGGGACCTGCCATGAGAAGGGGACGTGTAATCCCCTTCTCATGTATGATAAGCAGCATGTTGCACATGCCCGGGCTTTGCTGGTAGAGTTCTCAACTGGTTTCTGGAACGCAGAGTTCTTTCCTGATCACGTAGATTAATTCTCTTCCCAAAGTAGCTGTTAGCCAAATTCCCTCTGAACTCCTAATCTTTGCCCTAAACAGAAGATAAATGTATGCAGCCTGTGTTCTTGTCTTATCTGCCATAGCATAAAGCACTACAAATCTAACGAACATGTGTTTATGTTAGGGAAATCCCTTGATTGATTATAGGGAAGATATTTTGCAATCACAAAAAGCTGCAGGCTGTGTACTCATGTACCAAGCTGAGTTATGCCACCCAGGACTGCGTGCAGCAGACGTGACGATAATGATCTTACGGCTATCTATAGAACTGAGGCTTGATCTGATTGTGCTGAACTCACTGGGAGCAGGATCAGGCCCGTTACATGAGGATAATGGAGAGCAGTAAACTCAGGAGGTGAATAAAAGCCTCCAAGGGTTTGTTTCCTTGCATCTGTCAAATGACTTGGCACACAGAGGCTAGGCCCAATCCATTCCCTTCTGCTAATGAATCATGTGCTGGTCCCAGCCAAACTAGCAATCTAAGCAGGATGGTGCGTGTGTTCCAGGGAAAGGGAGGGGGAGGCAGTTCAGTGCAGGAAGGCTGTTCTGTCAGCTGAGCCAACACCAGGGTCCAAATCCTTTGGCTTGACACCAGGGTAAAGTGGAGGCAGAACTCAATACAAAGGAAGGTAGCTAGGGATCAGGGCCCAAGGCCAGGCTTCTGCTCCCCAATAGGTTTTCTATACCTCATGTGTAATATTCATTAGATAAATGGCATAGGGACAAAGGGCCAGGACCCATCCCTTCCAGGCAGCATCCATGCTGAGTGAGCACCCATCTCCCTGAGTCAGCCAGTTTCAAGAGGAGGGCTGGAGAGTGCTCTAAGTAGTGCCTGGTCTGCAGTCGGGGGCTTATAGCACTTTTCTGGCATAGGCTTGGCTTTCCTGCAACTACAGGTTCAGGACATACTTGGTGTTATGTGGAATCAAAACTGGCTGAGCTCCCAAAATTGCAGGTACGTGGCTAGGTAGGGGCCACTTAGACACATAAAGGTGAAATAGGATTTGGCTGCATGTATCATGGGATTGTCCTCTTTACTCTTGATGGAGAGGAGAAACAGCCAGCAGCTGTGTTGTGGGGAAGGCCAGCTGGCTGGTGAGAGGGATCTGCTGACTAGAACACAGGAATAATAGCATCAGGCAACTTTCTAATGTGGAATTGGCAGAAGCACAATGATCGTCATAAAAAGCCTGCACCCTTAACTGACATGGCCGTGCCCATAACCTTTCTACCACGCACTGTAGTCTGTCTTGCCTACTTAGATTGCAAACTTTTGAGGCAAGAGCTGCATAACTGTGTGCATGTCCGATGTCTAGCCCAACGTAGCTATAAATTTGGTTGGAGGTGCTCCTGCATTATACATCATCATTAATATTCATACCTGGATCAATTTTCAAATTGAACGTAAATATTAATGACTCAAATTTTCATGCAGCCAACCATCAACATTTGAACAGGGAACTGTTCAAGATAATATCGGGGCTTTGTTTTTAATTATCGTGTAAGCACAATAGTTTGTCATTGAAGGGAGATGCATGTGCAGATTAGAAAGCATGAGGGAAAAACAAACCCAAACAATTTGGCTTGGAGATTTTTTGAGCCTGCCAAATAGTTAAATATCTGTAACCACGAGAGAATGTGTATCCTGACTCCCTCAGAGGCCAAGGGACTGAGTGAACATAGCTTATTCTAATAGGAAAAAAAATAACTATACTTGTTTCTTTAACAATAACTGCCAGGAAGGCATTGCAGACTGGCTGCCTTTGTATTATTTTATGCAGAGCTGCTGTGATCATGTCAGTCAGTCCTAGAAATAGGTTTCATTGCTCTTCCATGAAAAGAGTTTGCTTTACTGGGCTGTTCCTTGTTCCCACGCACAGAGACACAGATACATCACCAGTCAGATGAACAGTTTGTTAATATTTCATAGACTTGTAGGAGACACGAAGAGATGAAAAAGGCACCCAGGATTCTGGTCTCAGTTTCACCAATACAAACCCAGAGAGACTCTGCTCAAATCAATAGCGCTGAGGTAGGGTACGCAGGAGCAGAGTCTGGCCCCTTGTCTCTGGCTGAGTGTCAGCATTTCTGAAGCGCTCACTGGTGCAGTAGAGTATCTAAGTGTTCGTATGTGTTTAAGCACCATGTTGAGTTCTTTCTATAGCATCCATTGTTCTTCCCCTGTTCTAGCCAGTGGATCCATTGTCCTCCAGAAAGATGCTGCTGCTTTACAAAAAAAGAGTGCTGCAGGATTCCTCCCACATACCAGGTTGGATGGGAAGCTGTTCAGGGCAGGAGCTCTTTTAATATATGCCTGTACAGGGCTGGCACTACAGGCCCCTGATCGCAGCTGGTGCCTCGAGGTGTTGCTAGAATACAACAGTACATAATGAGAGCAGACGAGAGATTCTTGTCCACGACTCAGCCCCTCCATGGTTCAGCTGTAAAGATGCTGCAAGCAGCCAGGGAGAAATCTTCCTGGGCAGGCACCATACAGAGCTATAACTACCTTATGCTGCCTACCCCAGAAACCTCTGTACAGTGCTGCGGGGAGGTGGTGGGCAGAAGGGCATGTCTGCAGTGCTTGGTGCTGTGGAGGATCTGGGCTATGACACAGCCTGTAGGTAACATTTTCGAAGTGGCTGTGTATTAGAAGAGTCAATAGATGCCCTAATTTATGCAAAGAGATGCACCTGCCCCAGCAGTGACCCAGAACGCAGGCCGTGCAAGGGTGGCTTAAAGCCTCATTTGCCTCTGCCATGGATTTTGCTTTTAGTGCTGCATCTCCTGAATGTACAAACAGAATCAGTGCCCAGTCCTCATCTGCACCTCTGCAGGGAGGGACTTCTCATTGTAGGTCACGCCCTGGCTCCCAGTAGTCTGACTCAGGTAATGCGCTGGTTCACTGCATTGTATTCAGATACTTTCCAAATCAAATGCCATCTTGGCTGTCATATCATAAACCCTGACTGATGCATTAAAAATAAACCTGGGATGTCTGTGTAATCTCTGCTATTTCTTTCTGGTCTTGAAAGAGGTTCTTATTTTAAGAGAAGTGCCTTTTGGGTAATGAATTCTCTTTCTATCCAGGGTTTCATACTTTTCAACAGCACCGCATGGTGTTTTTTACCTGCCAGTAATTCAAAGAAGCCCTTGCAGCTTTCAGTCACATAGGTGCTAATCAATATGACTTACACTTCACTATTTTTTCTGCCTTTTACTTTGGAGATCTCAATTGTCCATGTGCCATTCAGCAAGGAGGGATCTTATCCATACAGTTTCATCATCAGCTGCAACACATGCTCAATAGGACACCTATTAGTCTTTGCTGAGGGTGTTACTTTTTCACTTAGCCAATATTATAGAAATACCAATGGATAACACTAGTTACTTGCTAGCCAGAATATCAAAAATGGGTACAAATTTTGGATGTTCAAACCAAGACACCATGTAGAAAGCATCAGAAGTCTCTCTAGAAATCTCTTGCAGTCTATCCCATCAGGGTTTATTGTGGAGACTGCCCCCAAGCACATCACCTGTGTCCAATGCCTTTAAAGCTTGAGGACTTGAAATAAGAGCTTGGCTTTGACATGGAGTTTGCAGCTGTCTGAGATGCCTGTGTAGCATCTATCATCATAGAAAGTGCTTCACAGGCCCTGCTGCATTTCATCTTCCAACATGCCTGTGAGGAAGGGAAGGGTTATAATCCCTAATTGTAGTGATGAGGAATGGAGACACACAAGGACC